AGTGGAAAGAAAGACACCAAATTCTTGCTTTGCAGATGGAAAGGCAGCAGAGGGAGATGGCCCAAAGAGTAGTATCCACAATGACACAGAGCCACCGTGGGCTGGGAGCATTCAAGTTGTCAACAACCTTGTAGAAAAGGCAGACAAATTCCTGTTTTGTACTTGGGAAGAAGCCAGGTGATGTAATCATCTTATAGGAGGATGGTGAAATACTTTCCATTCCAGCAGTAACTCAAGATGTTAAATAGCAGCTACTAAAGTTAAACATTGTTAAATCAGTATGTCAGGACAGCATCTACCTACGAGTTTATGAAGAGTTGGCTGAGGAACCGGCGGACAGTTAATGTTCACTTTCCATATGCCATGAAATAGTGTGATGTTTAAGAGATGTAGGAAAAAGCTATTTGTTAAATGAGGCAGTTTGGCCTATTTTAGGACTGCCACTGCAACATGGGTACCAGTCAAATAATGATGTGCCAGCGATGGGATTCGGTCAGTGAAGGATTAAGGGAGCGCAGTAACAGCGGTGCCAATCCATGCATATTTATGGAAAACAGATTAAGGCAAATTAGCCTCACATGGTTTTTGATGCAATTACAAGATTGGTTGGGAGAGGTAACAGCGTTAATGCAATGCACCCAAACTTCTGAAAAGCATTTCCCTTGGGAATGCATGATATTTTGATTCAGAAATTAGAGGGTCCGCAGACACTGTGGCACATATTCAACGCATTAAAACTTGGCTGGCTGATGCTGCTATGGTCTGAGATCTAAGCAGGGAATGCAGGTCTGTTTCTACTAGAGCCAACAGGTTTGATTCACGGCTCTGGGCTGTTTAACGTTTTTATCAGTGACCCAGGAGAGAGCCCAAAGTGTTCCTAATAAAGTTAACTGATGACATGGAAGTCGTGGTGTGGTACACACTGAAGATGGTCGCCAACACGCAGCAATCTGGATGGGTACAAGCAAGCCACGCGCATTCAATACAAACACATTTCAGATCATGCCTCCTGGGAAAAGGATGCAGGCCACAAGTGGTTTTCTGCTCATAGTCCTGCTGCAAAGGATGAGGTCCTGCCCCAGCAAACAGCTGTGCAAAAGAATACAGCCAAAAACCACCGCCAAAATGGTTAATGTGAAGATGGTATGGAGAAATGTCATGGAGCAAGGTCCCAACCCCCTCCAGCACACAACTGCACTGATCCTTGGGATGCTCTGCCAACTGGAAGGCTGAGGATAGCCAAAAAGCTCTCAGCACACAGAGGGCAGAGGGTCAGGGATTACCCTTAAACAACCACACAGAAACCACAAGTATGGGAACAGAGGCCCCGCTGGACACAGCTCACTGAGGTCCAAGTGCCAGGCAGCAGGGGGCAGGTAAGGAGGCAGGAAGACCACTGGAAGCATTTAAGATAACTCTCCTCTGGAAACATTTATATCACAATTGGCTGTATCTGCTCTAGCTCAACCAGGAATGCTTCCTGTAAGAACTTAATTAACCCTAGGGCCTTACCATTTATTGGCTGAGTCCTGCATTATCTGTGGAAGCCCAGAACCAAAGCAGGCATGGAGCCACGAATAGATGATTATCTTCAAAACATCATGTCTACATGGGACATGACCGTAACACAGTGGGAACACACCCTTCACAGAGCCCACATGAAGGCCCCATACCTACAAGAACCAATCCAGACCATTTTTTGCAGCCTCTGACAGGGATGGCTGCTCCACGCTGCTCCAGTAGTAATCCCAACAGCCATGCCCCTGCCTTTAGAGCTGGACTGAGGCTCAGTCAGTGCTGGGTTAGTGGAGATGGGCTGTGGTGTTGATGGAGATGGACAGACTGGGTGAGGACATCAACATCCTCCATCCCTGCTCTCCACACCAGGGAAGGAGCAGGGAAGTGTAAGACACCTTGCTATTGCTCTAGCTCAGAAACAACTGTGACCCTAAGAGACAATGCTATGGGTCTCTTACATCACCACCACCTTCTGCAGGACAGAACCATTGGCAAGACCAAGGCTCCCCGTGCTCACTGTTATAGGAACACAATAAAGAAGAGGCTGCCCACTGCACCAGAAGTCCACTGGAAATGGAAGAGAAGCTGGGGATGGAAGCAGAGCACAGCAGCCAGCAGCTGCCATCCCCGAGCAGGCAAAGGCAGTGCTCGACTGCCGTCCAGCTAAAGAGAGAGAGCAAGGAGCACAATGGCTCTGCCTCCTCTGTTGCGGAGCAGAGCCAATGAATAAGGGAGGCAGAGACAGAAATGCGCTTAATATGCTGCTTGGGAGGGACGGGCGGGGGAGAAGGGGGGAAGCAGCCAGACAAAGAACAGGGGGATGGAGAAAAAAAGATGCAGGCAGAGAGCAGGAGAAGGTGAAGCATGGGAGCAGGAGGACGGGGCTGGGCAGTGCGGGGCCCCCGGCAGCGCAGCGGGAAGGAGCGGGGCAGGCAGTGTGCGGCCGAGGGGCGATGCAAAGTGCAGAGCCCTGTGGGATTGGCAAGCAGGGCCCAGCAAAATGAAAATCTCTTAACCACACAGAATTGTTAACTGCCCCCAAATCCTTTTGTGCTGGGGCTGCAAGCTTAAAGGAGCTTAAGCTGTTAGATGCATGAACTTCCTCCATAAATATCCCTTGTGTGCAGTGCCGTGAGCAGGCTCGCGTTGTATTAGCCAGATGAAGAGCCCAGCAGAGAAAATGAGCAACTCCTTCCAGTGCTTGCAGCTGCACTGAGGGGCCGGGCCGACCGTTGCTTGGGGTGCACCGAGGCCCATTGGCAGGGCAGCACCCGTGGGCCATCCTTGCCACGTCCCGTTCAGGCTACTGAGTCGTGCGAGAGCACTTCACTCCAAGAGCCAGTTTGGATTTGCTTTTGTTTTGCTTCTGGAAAAGGGCCCAGATTTCCTCCCACCCTTCAAAACACAAAAAAAAACCTGCCGGCCATATGTACGAGCAAGTCCCCCAAGCCAGGAGGCTCACACGCTGCCCATGCAGCAGGGACTGGTACCAGGCAGGGGTGCAGCAGCAGCGGGGCAGTGATGCAGGACTGCACCCACTGGTCCCTCCCCAAGGTGCTTTTAACCCAGCTAGAGAGATAAACCCCTCCCCATCCCCTCTGAGAGCAGAGTGGATGTGCCATCTCTGCCTGGTGGCTCCCCACGTGTCCCATAGGAACCGGAGGAATCCTTCCACTCCTGCAGAGCCCTGGGCTCATCCAGCCCCACAGCCAGAGCTGCCCCACGGAGACGGCGCGCTGCCGGCCACGGCGTGATTGATGACAGTGGGGAGCGTGGGGCTGCATGTGCGCCAGCACCGGCTGCAGAAACAGCTGCTGAGGTACCGGACCTCCCAAAATCCTGCTGCTGCACAAAGAGGAGAGACAGCCTTTCTGCTCTCTCCCTCCACTTCGGCCCCCTTCCTTTCTGGCTGACAAAAATGGGCTCTGCAATGGGCACTTGAAGGGACCGACCCTCGGCTGGGCTGGCACTGGGTCTGGGAAGCGGTGCAAGTCATGAAACTGAAGCTGTATCAGAGCAAAGCACTGTGCAGGGCTGAAGTGAAAAAAAAAACAAAAAACCTCGAAATGGAAAAGCTGACATGAAGTATTTTGGCTTCCTTGTGTTGCTACGAATGCTCCACTTGGGCGTAGTAAAACATCCATCTGGGATTAGCCAGGCTCCCTCTGCATGCTGTGCTGCAGCAGGACTCTCAGCAGCCGCAGCCCTGCTGCAGCTGAAGTACTCTTGGTCACCACTAATGGGGAGAGGAGAGCCACATGGTGTCCCAGCAAGCAGCAGCAAGGGTATCAAACATCCCCACACATAGCAAGACCTGCAGGTGGATGCCCCTCAAAGTGAGCAGTCCAAGGAGAAGCCACGTAGTAAAGGGAAGATCTCCACAAAAGGCTTCACTTCTGTTCCTTTGGCCTCAACATCACTTTCAGACTTTGACATTTCTTCTCATGTCCTCCTCAGACTCCCTTTTAGTCCTCCCCCACTCCTTGCCCCTGTGAAAGGCCCTGTTTCAGCTTCTCCTGCTAAGGGCTCAGGGCATCCCTCAGCAGCAAGGCACCCCACTGAGCCCAGGGGAGATCAGTAGGGAACACGGGATTCAAGGAGAGTGCTCTGAACGTGGTCCTGCAGGAGAACCCCAGGTCAACCTTTGCCTGCTCGAGATGGACACTGAGTTGTTGTGACTGCATGGCCCTGTGGCTGCTGGTGTGATGGCAGAGGAACCAGCACAGCCATTCAGCCTGCAGCCCCAACCAAGTGTGGCCAGACATTTTCCTCTCTAGAATGTCCATTTCCCACCACCACCACCTTCCCCACACTTGCTTGGTGCTGCCCAGCTGCCTCTTCATGAAGCAAGCAGAGAGGAGAAGCAGCTCCTTCCTTGCACAGTTCTGCAGTGCCTACTGACGTATCTATAATTGATCTCAGAGAAATTCCAGCTCTGCTCAGTGTGTTGATGCTATCAAAACCATAATGGGATTTTGATGTTCAAATGGGACAGGGAGGAAGAATCAGTTTGCCAAATGCTGCAGTTTGCTTTGGTTTGCTCTTTTTGTCCTGTTCTGCAGCCCTTCCACTTCCCCACATCTTTCTCCCCAACCCCAGCACCTCTGAGCACATCCACCCCAGCGCACTACAGATAAGCATACCTGCTTAGGTGCAACCAAAGAGGAAACTCCCTCTCTTCTGGACTCTCTGCACTTTCTCTTCTTCCCCAGTTCCACCCCAGCCCCAGACTGCTGGGAGGTGGTTGCAGAGCAGAGGCACAGCTCAGTGGCTGAGTGTCCCTCTTGGGGAGCACAAGAGGCAGCAGCGACTGCACAGCACCCAGACTCTGCAGACCCAGAGCTAAGGCAGAACCCCTCCAATGGAGAGAGGAACCCAAGTTCCTTGAGAAGTCCCTCCCAGCTTGCAGATCACAGCCTCAAAAGCACCAATGCAAGCACAGCAGTGAGATGAGCACGTGAGGAGCAAAGAGAAAGGGTTACCTCTGCAGACGGTCCCATTCTCCACCGACTCGTAGCCCGGCCTGCACATGCAGCGGCCGATGGGCACCAGCCACTCTCCATCCCCATTGCAGTACAGCTTGATTGGCACATCCACCTCCTCTGCATTGCTGATGCACGTCCCCCGGGCTGCCACCAGAGATGTGCTCTCTGCTCCCGAAAGGGTTTCCTGGAAGACCGCCCCGTTCTGGATCACACGGGGACACTTGCGGTAAAAGACACGGACTGCAATCAAGGACATGCAGCCCCCATAGTCCTGGAAGGCCAGGTAGAAACCATTTTTGGAGACAGGCCCAAAACTGCGCACCTCGGTGTTAATCTTCATCACCCGCCCACCAAGGTCCACCTGCGAGAAGCTCTCGTCGGCAGCAATTGTATCTACCTTCATCCAAGGGTTTTCCATCCAGTTAGGAAAAGTCTTGGTGGCAGAGTCAAAGTCTGATTCGTAGTAATAGAGATTAAAAGTCTCCTTACAGGAACCCGGGACGTTGGGGATGCTGCTGCAGTCCCGAACGGAGAATTTCATCTCCACGTGGATGCGGTGCGCTCCTCGCCTCCGGATGTACTTGGTCCGCAGCCAGTTGTTTTGGCTGGACTCAAAGACGTTGCACACCTGGTAGGTGCGGATGGTGTTCATGTTCTCATCGTATCCACTCACCTCTTCCCACTGCAGACAGGACACAAACAGTCAATGGAGCTGAACAGGCATTCAGAGCATTAAACACGGGGTCCCCACCTGCTCTGCCTCTTCCAGGCACCATGCAGGCATGCTGTCCCAGCAGAAGCCGTGCCACATCATACCACCACATCACCCCAACCCTACGTGTCTCCAGAGGGGTCTGACCCACGTGGCACCCCGGTGGCTTTATGGCAAAACCTCCCTGCATGTGGTCCGGGTGTGGCAGGGCACCGTAGGGCCATGCACTCCATCTGCAGCAGTAATGTCTTTAGCAGGGGCTCTCGCCCGTCGGCTACACCGTCCTGCAGTGGCCTCCTCTTAGCTGCTGAGCCTCATGGCTAAGTAACACGATGCCTTCAGCAGATGTATTCCCACCGGTGCCGCTACAGTTACAACCGTAACAGACAGACCCTGCTTTATAACATGACTGTAAAACCTCCTTCCAGGCTGCAGCCTGAGTGCCATGCAAGGTGCAGGGTGCCAGAGGGACAGCAAAGCCCCTCTGCAGCTCTGGAGGAGTCTCCATAGAGCTCAAGGCAGCTACAACATACCCATACCTGCACCCTCTGCACAATGGCCCTGTTCTGCTCTCTGCCCTTTTATCCAAACTCTCAGCTCTCATTGCTGTCTTCACCCTTTGTAGGGTAGGGAGACACTTCAGGGCAGGTCAGAGATGGGATATGCCCACCAGGATCCATCAGGATGTCTATGATTGAGGTCGATATGCTGATGGATATATTGGGAGGAGGAAGGTAAAGGTGAAGGAACAGGACGATGCTCAGAGGGCAGGAGCACATCTCCTATGAAGAAAGGCTGAGGGAGCTGGGGGTGTTCAGCCTGGGGAAGAGAAAGCTCTGCGGAGACCTCATCATCACCTTCTAGTACTTAAAGCAAGCATATAAACAGGAGGAAGATCAATTTTTTATACTGTCTGATAGTGATAGGACCAGAGGTTGTGTTTTTAAACTAACAGAGAGGAGATTCAAGATAAATGTCAGGAGGAAATTCTTTACTCAGAGAGCAAGGAGGTCCTGGCACTGCTGCCCAGAGAAGTGTGGATGCTCTATGCCCAAAGCCATGGATGGGCCCTGGGCAGCCTGAGCTGGAGGGGGGCAGCCAGCCCGTGGCAGGGCTTGGAACTGGGTGGGCTTTAATGTCCCTTTCAACCCATTTCTGTGATTCTATGAACGTTGCATTCTGTCACACGTTTGTGTGATGCCAACAGTCAATGGAGCAAGAAGAGAGCGAGCACATGAGATTCCCCTGCCCCAACACCCTTTGTGCCTCCCTCCACTCCAGCCTCTAGTGGGGAGAGGAGAGAGGAGGGCAGGTCTGGGGAAGCTTATGAAGGAAACCACAAGGCTATCCAGTCAGGTGGAATGGCCGTTTACGAGCCTGTTTGTAAACCTGCTCAAGTGGAAGCCAAGCAGCTTCCCATGGACATGAAATCCAATGTGCAGAGCACAATCCTGCCCGGGGTGCAGGACTTGTCCACAGTGCAGCCCTGCTGTCATCGCATCCCTGCACTCAGGGCTGCAAAGGGAGGCTCCCGAGATGAGAGACAGATTGCTTTTTGCACATCAAGGCTAACAAACAGAAGGCTGTCAGAGAAGATCCACAAACAGCTCCAACCATTTCTGATCGGCCGTGGCTGCAAATCTGCTACCGTTGCAAGGAAAGGAGAAGGAGAGCATCCTCACAGAATGCAGGGGGAGCATTTGATTTCTTTTCCATAAATAAATTTGGTGTGCTAGTGGGACAGAAAAACAGGATTTACCCAATTTTTAGGGAGGAATCATGGACAGAATATAAAGAATCAGTTTCTTCCTCCGGCATGGCTCTGCTCTGCCTGGAGCTCTCACCCCAAAGCTCTGTGTTGGCCACCAGGACCCACCTACCTGCTCCACGAGCTGGGGCTGCTCAGACCCTACAACGCCCTGCTCCCTTCTCACAGCTGGGAGTGAAAGTCACTCCCGTGCATCAGCCCCTGTTCTTCCTCAGCGCTTAATTAGAAGCCTCTCCCTTTCTCCTCGCTCTCTAATTAACATGCCGGGAACTCAAAAGAAGAAGGCAGCACAATAATACGGAGAGACGGCTTCCAGCAGGCCCAGGCCTCATTACTGTGGGGCTGGCGAGCCGGGAGCAAGGCGTGCTTTACATATGGAAAAACTGCAAACAAGAAAGGCTGGGCGAGGAGAGAAAAAGACTTGACCTCTGCTCCTGCCCATTGTGGGCCTGTCATCCCCCCTCGGCGGCCAGGCCGGTGTTGGCGGGGCTTTATCATGGTGATGGGGCCTGGAGCCCGAGCCCTGCATCCCAGCTCTGGGCAGGCAGAGGAGGCCGCTCCTGCAGGGTTTAATCTCCTCAACACAGGCTTTGCTCGGACATTTCTTTTCTTCTGCCAGGCTGGTCCAGGGAGCGGGCTTGCTGTCAGGTCTGGGGTGAGGCCTAGAGGAATGTCTTCATCCAGCCCTCCTGGTGCCTTGGTGGGGCTGGGTGCGGGGAAGAAGGGAAAAAAGGGAAAGAAAGAAGGGAAAGAAAGAAAGAAGGGAAAGAAAGAAAGAAGGGAAAGAAAGAAAGAAGGGGAAGGAAGGAAGGAAGGAAGGAAGGAAGGAAGGAAGGAAGGAAGGAAGGAAGGAAGGAAGGAAGGAAGGAAGGAAGGAAGGAAGAGGAAAAAAGAGGAAGAAAGAAGGAAAGAAGGAAAGAAGGAAAGAAGGAAAGAAGGAAAGAAGGAAAGAAGGAAAGAAAGAAGGAAAGAAAGAAGGAAAGAAAGAAGGAAAGAAAGAAGGAAAGAAAAAAGGAAAGAAAGAAAGAAAGAAAGAAAGAAAGAAAGAAAGAAAGAAAGAAAGAAAGAAAGAAGGAAGGAAGGAAGGAAGGAAGGAAGGAAGGAAGGAAGGAAAGAAGGAAAGAAGAAAGAAGAGGAAGAAAGAAGAGGAAGAAAGAAGGGAAAAAAGGGAAAGGGGAAAGGAGAAAAGGGAAATAGGAAATGGAAAAGGGAAAGGCAGAAAGGGAAAGGGAGAAAAATGGAAAGGGGAAAGGGGAAATGGGAAAGAGAAACGGGGAAGGGAAAGAGGAATCAGGGAAGAGGATAATGAAGAAAGGAAGGGGGAAATAGGAAAGGGAAAGAGAAAAGGGCATGGGGAAATGGGAAAGGAGAAAAGGGAATGGGGAAAGGAAAGGGGAAAAGGAAAATGGGAAAGGAAAATGGAAAAAGTGAAAAGGGAAAGAGGAAGAGGAAGAGGAAAAGGCGATAGGGGAAAAGGGAAAGGGGAAAAGAGGAAAGGGGAAAAGGGGGAAAGGAAAGGGGGAAGGATAAAGGAAAATGGGAAAGGAGGAAAAGGGGGAGGGAGAAGGGAAAGGGAAAGGAGGAAAGGGAAAGGGGAAGAAAGGAAAGGGGAGAGAGAAAGGGGAAATGGAAAAAATGGAAAAGGGAAAAAGGGAAAGGAGAAAAGGGAAAGAGGAAAAGAGAAACGGGAAAGGGGAAAAGGAAAAAAACAAAAAGGGGAAATGGGAAAGGGAAAGGGGAAAGGGGAAAAGCAGAGTCTTTGGGCTTGGGCCAGGCTGGCTTTGGCTATGTAACATGAGGGCGAGTGTGATGCCAGACCAGCAGGCACGGCTTGGATCAGGGCACTGCAAGGGTACCCTGCCAGCACTACCTCCACCCCAGCTCTAGCTGGTGGAACACAGGGAGCCGTCTGGGGGTGGTGGACACTGTGGCCCTAAGCTGCTCCTGGCCACTGCAGGCAGAGAGTGGGGGGATGCTCTGAAGCACTCTGATGTCCCAAGCAAACCTGGTGAGACACAGAGGTGGCTGCACCTTTTCCATGGATGCAGAGACACCATTTTTATACTATTCCCACCACATCTTTTCATTCAGCCACAGCACCTCAGTTCAGCAGGTGACTTCCCCACCTATGTTTGCTTGCAGTCAGAGACCCCAGATTGGGCACCCAGGTCCCATAAAGCAAGAGGATAACTCACCCCTGAGGGAGGATGCACCATCCAGCCCAGCTCTGCCGTGGCTGTTGTGGAGTCCATCAGTGTCTCTGCAGGAGGAAGGGGAAACAAGGAGTCAGTCCATCACCTTCCAGTTACATTTGCAAAAGTGGAACACTTTTTCTCTGCCTTCTGCATGGTAGGCAGTATCCTCGGCCATGCAGCAGTGGATAGGAAGGAAAAGCACTTCAAGGACTTGCCATACTTAAAAATTAAACCAACATTAAAGCCAATTTTCCAGGCAATTTGGGCAGAAATAGGTCAGATGCTGCTATCGCTAATCAGCACTGAACAGCGGCAGAGGATGGCTTAGGAAGGTCACACTGCATGCACAAGCAAGACACAAACATGAAATCCATCTTGCAGCTTCAATTTCCCTGCCCTCCCAATTACTACAGAACAGGCAAGGAAAGAGTCCCTTTTTACAGCTCTGCAGCTCTCAAGAAAAAGCACCATATGTACAAGGTGTACACCCACCCACCTTCACACTGCTCACAGGAGAGCACCAATATAGTCAAGATGTCCAGTCATCAGCCTACAGATCCAACAGACAGCCTTGATACCGTCAAGATCTCCAATCACCAGCCTACAGATCCAACAGACAGCCACAATACAGTCAAGGCCTCCAGCCATCATCCTGCAGGCCCAAAAGACAACCCTGATACAGTCAAGATCTCCAATCACCAGCCTACAGACCCAACAGACAGCCCCAATGCAGTCAAGACCTCCAATCACCAAACAGATCCAGCAAATAGTCCCAGTATAGTCAAGATCTCCCCCCACCAGCCTACAGACTCAACACGACAGCCCCAATATAGTAAAGATTCTCCCACCACCAGCCTACAGACCCAAAGAACAGCCCCAATATAGTAAAGATTCTCCCACCACCAGCCTACAGACCCAAAGAACAGCCCCAACATAGTTAATATCTCCAACCACAGGCCTAAAGACCCACACACAGCCACGATACAGTCAGTGTCTCCAGCCACCAGCCTACACACCCAACACAGTACCACTTCCCATGGCCAGAGCAGAGGCGGAGAGCCCCTGGCTATAACTACGTCCTGCTCCTGACCACTAAAAACCCAAGCACCCTGCCACAAATTCCCAAAAAGCATCTCCACCTTCTCCACTTTCACTGCTTTGAACAAAAACGAAGGAAAGAAAGATCAGCACTGTGCAGATCCATCGCTTAAAGAGATAAGGCTAGATGCAGAGATGGCAAAATGACTTTTATTCAGTCCACGTAAACTCCCTTTTCCCATTAGTAAGCCAAAAAGTGCCTCGGCACAGATATGCTCCTTGCACCTACTTCTGGCAGTAAATCATTTTCAGACTGTGGGTTGTTACTCACTCCTGCTTAGAGCCAGCGGTTTCCAGTTCACAGGAAACCAGCATTTCAAAATTTGGTTTTATTCCAAAAGTAAAAAGCAAAAATAGTTCTTTTCAAATTTTTCCCACTACGAAGAGTTCTGGAAAACAGCTCGTCCAAAAATGTTGTCATTCAGATTTATGAAATTTCTTTTTAAACTGAGCGTTTGTTTACATAGCTTAATAACAGTGTTTATTTTATCAAAGTATCTAGCTTTTTCATTAAAACACCAGTGCCACTTTGATCTAGAAGGAGAACAACATTCTTCACCCAGTGCTAGCTAGGAGCTGCACTACTCAAAAAAACCAACGCCAAATATGTTGATTTATCTTAACTATTGATGACACTGACTATCACGCAGAAGAAGATGCACTCTAAAATAGCGTAATTGCCCAAATAAAAACAATTTTTTGAAGCATTTTGCATTTTCTTCCAGGAAAATATGGTGCAATGGGCATGTGCCCAGCTCAGTGCTGAAGCACACTTTGCCCATAGCCCTCACCGTTGCCCCTTATCCTCTGCTGAAGAGTTGCACATGGCCTTAAGATGCCGTAGGGGAGAATCACGTTGGGTATTAGGAACAATTTCTTCTTGGAAAGAGTGTTGAGATGTTGGCACAGCTGCACAGGGAGGTGGTGGGGTCACCATCCCTGGAGGCGTTCAGTGTGGAGATGTGGCACTGAGGGACGTGTGGGCATATGGTGGGCTGGGTTGGGGTTGGACTGGATGCTCTTAGACATCTTCTCCAACCTTAATGATTCTATGATTCCATCCCCTTGGAGCAACACACCTACCTGAGCTGGCTCAAGGACATCCCAATTTGACACGGTAACAAGGAGCAGAAAACTGCAGGTTTCAAGCAGATTTTTCTAAAGGTCAATTATCTTCTCATAAAAAAATATATCTTCTCCTACTTTAAAACTGAATTTATGCTGCTCAGCTGCCAGTTATTAGATTTCCTTTTACTTTCAGACTCTGTTATCCAAAACCTCCTTTTCCTCTTGTGCTGCTCAAGGGTGGCAAATGAATCATCTCCCAGCCTTCCCCAAGGTAACCAGAGTAACTGAGAGCCTTTCATCCTAAAACAGGTCCCCTTCTCTGGGGCTCCTGTTCATCTTTCTTTATGCAGGATGGACCCCAAAACTGCATCCCCACAGCACACAGCTGTAACATCCCTTTGTGTGACTTTTTGCACATCTTTTCTAGCAAATTGCTGTCCTGGCCAAAGTCCAGAAAGCATGTGGAGATCAGTTGACATGTTAGCATTTGGCAGTAGTTGCCTGAATTCCATAAAATCGTGAATAACCGATCTCCACGAATCAGAGCAAACCTCATTAGCAGCACTGTCTGCGAATGTGCATGTGAAGCCAGGTTGGATTTCAAGGGTGGGGGTGCATTTGTTCCTTCACTGATGCTTGACCTCAAAGCACACTACAATTGCCTTACTGCCTAAATAATCACAGAATCACACAGTGGTCTGGGTTGCAAGGGACCCTAAAGCCCACCAGCCCCAACCCCTGCTGTGGGCCGGCTGCTCCCCACCAGGTCAGGCTGCCCAGGGCCCCATCCAAGCTGCCCATGGGCACCTGCAGGGATGGGGCAACCCCAAAAATAATGGTATGCCACAGAGCTACCTTGCGTGTGTACCCGGACAAAAGCATCTCACACTCACCATGTCTCATCCTTGGGAAGTTGCCTACTGCTATACAAAGGGAGCACACACTTCAGCAAATAAAACCAGGAGAGATGTCCAGTGAACCACTGTATTTCTCACCTGCAGAGTATTTCCTCTGCCTCTCCCCCCACACTCCGATCAGTTCAGACCTCCACAGCAAGAGGCAGCAGAAGGCAGGAGCTTTGGGTCTCAAGACATCAGCTGTACATGGGGTGAATCACCAACACGAGCCGTGACAAGCCCCCAGAACCCATCACTGCAAACCACAGAGGAGAGAAACTCCCTGCTTCAACCAGCAAATCTGGCAGCTTTGCTCACTGTCACGGCTGACTCCTTCACGGTGCCATCCTCCAGGTTTGGCAGCAGATGTGGGCACCCTGCACAGAGCATCAATCCTTTGGCGATGGTGACGATGCACTGCTAAGCCCCCAGGGGTGGCAGCGGTGGGTGCCTGGCCCCCAGCCCACCTCTGGCGGCTGCCTACAGTCGCAGCTCAGTGAAAAGCTCCTGCCGGAGCAGCGTTTTCTCAATATCTTTGTTTGTGTTATTCCCTCCCGTGTGTTTATCCGCGGATTCACATGCTACCCACAGCACTCTAAATAAATCTACAGCTGCTCGAAACTAGCAGACGCAACTCTGGCCTGCCTCCCACCAGAAACCACACTGCTCCCCACGGGATGGTTAGGAGATAAGTGCCTGTCCTTTTCACTTTGAAGATGCTTTCAATAAGCAGCTCTCTGCCAGTGCTGGGGCCGCTGCCGGCACGGCCAGGGGAGGCACTGCAGCTATGAGAGCATCTCAGGGTCTGCAGCCTCTGCCACGCTCTAGGATCCAGCTCGAGCACTTTGCATACAGAGATGCATCACTGTCACCACGCTGCAACCTCTGGGATGCTCATGGTTATGCTCAGACACCAGGTGGCTGACCTGGGAGAGAGGCTCCTGCACTTCTGGATGCTTTTCCTGCTGCTCAGCCATGAGTGAAGTGAGCATGGGGGTCTCAACTGCACTGGCTTGGAGAAGGGAAGGCTCCAGGGAGAGCTCACTGTGCCCTTCCAACACTTGAAGGGAGCATATGAACAGGAGGGGGAACGGCTGTTTACAAGGGTGGATAGTGATAGGACAAGGGGGAATGGTCTTAAACTGAGACACAGAAAGTTTAGGTTGGATATTAGGAGGAAGTTTTTCACACAGAGGGTGGTGAGGCACTGGAACAGGTTGCCCAAGGAGGCTGTGATGCCCCATCCCTGCAGGCATTCAAGGCCAGGCTGGATGTGGCTCTGGGCAGCCTGGGCTGCTGGCTGGTGACCCTGCACATAGCAGGGGGTTGGAACTGGATGAGCACTGTGGTCCTTTTCAACCCAGGCCATTCTATGATTCTATGACTTTTCCCACCTGAGACTGGTGAGCAGAGGACAAAGCGCTGGCTGTGACCAGAGAAAGGAGACTGGAGAATGACAGGAGCAAAGGATAGTGGCAGAGAGGCTGGAAGGGATTAACAGAGGATCTGTGCACACTGCAGACACACTTCTCTGTGTCCGGAAAAACAACGTCCATGGAGTTTTGCCAATTTCGACCAATTTAGACCATCTGGACCTGAGTTTCTCAGAAGTCCTGGTAAATCCTTTGCATCTGCAGGCTCCAAACACGTTGCAGATAAAGAAACAGCTGGACAAATAAATAGCCCCACAGATAGCTGAAGCCTCCACCCTCATTTTTCCACCCACAACTTTTTCCTTTCCCCTCGCACTTCTCACATCAGTCCCTCCCTCAGAGCAGGAAAGCTGCCAGCTCCTAATAACACAGGGTGCAAACTTGGAGGTTGGCCTGGGATCCTATTAGCCATCTTCAAGGCCAGGCTGGATGTGGCTCTGGGCAGCCTGGTCTGGTGGATGGTGACTCTGAATATAGCTGGGGGGTTGAAACGAGATCATCATTGTGGTCTTTTCAACCCAGGCCATTCTATGATTCTATGGTCAGTGTTGCACATACAAAGGCAACAAG